GCTCCAGATAAGTGGTGGCTATTCTTATCCCCATTTCACAGATGAGGAAACTGAGGCTCAGATTGACTAAGGAGCTCTCTCATGGCTACGTATCTAATGTGTGGTAGAGCAAGGTTCAAGCCTGGGCAGAGCAGACACACTTAATCAGTGCGTGCCTTCCTTTCCTTGTTGCACTGTGGTCAGCTTCTGTGACTTCCCAGTACAGTCTCATAAAGTCCATTGGGAATTGTATAAACTGTGAGAGTTAAACGGACTTCTGTTCCTGAGCAGCCTACCCTGGTGCCTGGCACAGAACAGGGAGGGGTTCAGGGGCTGGAGATGACCGACGCTGTCAGTTTATTTCTTCCTTGCCCTTCACAAGGGATGACTCAGACTTTGCTTTTGTGGCCAGTCCAAGGAAGGTAAACGCAGCTACAAGCTATAGCCTCTGCTTCTAGGGGCCTTCACTGGGTGAAATTGGAGCCATGGACAATGCAAAGGAGCTCCCCAGGAGCGGGGAACTCAGAGGCAGGGTCATTCATAGGCTGTATGTGGCCGCATGTCAGCTCCTCACTGTGTACACGGCCCTCCCAGGGACTGGGGATGGAATGCGTCCCCCGCATGTTGGCCAAGTCCTGAACCTTTGCTGGAGCTGACACAAGGTCCCACTGAGGGTGGAAGCTCAGAGAACTGCCTGCCGTTGTCGTAAGGAGGACAAGCAGCAGCACGCATTACAGGACTGATTGACTGTGGAGGTTCCAGGGCTGCAGGTGCACTTGAATTTTAAGGTAGAAAAACCTACCCACAGCTAAATGATCCTGCGTGTATATGCACATACAGACCAGCATGAGCCTGTGGCTCTTGGAGATCCTTAAGCTCTGAGCTCTCTTTTAAAGTTGGGAAGACTGAGGCTCAGAGTGGGGTGACTTGCCCAGTCCCACGGCAGTTCAATAGCAAAACTGGGGATCAAATCAGCAAAAGGTCCCTGGGTGGCTTTCTCGCCCTGGCCTTCCTGTGAAGAGTTATGGGCACTTGCTGTGTGCCCCGCACCATGCGGCCCTGCGCTCTGCTAATACTGGTGAATTTATTTCCAAATAGGCATTGATGCCCACTTTCTGTTCCGGCCTCTAACAGCCCATCTTTGACCCCTGCTCTCTTTTTCTTGCTTTAATCTATTCACCCTTCCAGTTGCTAACCTGAATGACAGAACCTCCTAGTTCTCAGCCCTCCTTCTTTGCTTGTTTTCTCTTTTTTCCTTCTGCCCACACACCTGCTCCCATCCCTGCCAAAGCAGCTCAGGCTGGAACCCAGCCACCTGGGTGCAAATGTCAGCTGGCTTCCTACTTGCTGTGTGGCCTCAGGCAAGTTACCTACCCTCTTCATCCCTCATTCCCTCTTTATAAAGTGGGCGTGATAATCGCAGGGGTTAGGATGAAAAAATGAGGTAATGAATGTAGGAGTAAGAGTGTCTGACACAAAGTACTGTCTTACCACTGCTAATATCGTCACCTCCAGCGTGTCTGTTCCCCCTCGCACAATGCTTCCTTTGCACTGGGATTGGGTAGTGAAGGGGGACTTTCAGTAGAGGCAGATCCCACATAGACTTGAAGGGCCTAAGAAAGGCTTCCCAGAGGAGCGTAGGGTTTTAAGGGTAGAATTTAGAGATTGGCTGGAATGTTTAATTGTTAGGGATGGCAGAAGGGCAGTTAAAAAAGGAACAGTATGAGAGGAAATTTGGGTCAGGCTTAGGGAATGGCCTGGGGAAGTCAGAGCTGATAAGCCTCCTACTTCAAGGTCAAGGGTCAAGGGTGGGGGTGCGGCAGATTGAGGAGGGCCTTGGAAGCCAAACCAAAAGCTCTGAACTTAACTGAACAGGCAGTGAGGAGTACTGGATCTAGAAAGGCGCTGGCTCTAGACTTCCATTGCCTGCTGTCTCCTCAGACTTTTTCATTGACTCTAGTAGATGAGTTGATTTTCTTGTGATTCTTTCCAGGTTCAAGATACACCCGGGTAAGGATCATTCAGGGGGCTTCTCCCTCGGGGTTTATCCCTGTTTTGTCTCTATCTTGTCTTCTTGTACTGGCTAAAACTTTCAGGACAATTTTCAGTAATAAGTTTCTTTGACATGTTCTTGACTTAAATAAGAATGCTTTAAGTATTTCACCAATTAAGTATGACATTGACTCTCAGTTTAAGAATGGTATCAGATCAAAGAAGTGTAAACTTCAGTTTTTATTTACTAAGAGGTGTTGTAAGGAAATAGTATTGAATTTTAGCCCACGCCTTTTCCACAACTTTGATTTAATCATATGGTTTTCCTCTGATACAGTAATATGATTTCCCGACCAGTGCTTTAATATTGAAGCATCCCTGGGTAGCCGGAATAAACCTTTCCTGGTCATGGTGTATTCTTCTCTCTCTCTCTCGTTTCATCAGTGAGGTGGTAGATTGTGTGCATGCATATTAATAAATTGTGAGACTAGCCATTAATTTTCTTTTTTCTGCACCTTTGTTAAATTTTTATATCAGGATTGTGCTAGGTTGGCAAAATGAAGATTTTTTTTCTAGTTTTATACATCTTGGATCAGCTTAATAACAGAAGTATGTGTTCCTTGAAGATTTAAAAGAACTTGCCCAAAACTAAAACCAAAAACTTGCCTATGAAGCCAAATGGACGAGGCACCTTATTTTTAAAAATAATTTTAAACAACTTTTTCTATTTTTCTAAGGCGAATGGGCTGTTCATATTTTCTACTTCTTGAGTTAATTTTGGTGACTCGAGTTTTCCTAGGAAATTGTGCCTTTTGATGAAATTTGCACATTTAGTAGCATAGGGCGTTCCTGCATTTTCTTGTGTGTGTGTGTGTGTGTGTTTTTTTAATATCATCTCTTCCATATCTCTAGTTGTATCTTCTCATTCCTTACTTGATATTTGTGTCTTCTTTTTTGAATCTCACCCTAGGGTTGTCTGTTATTGGTCTTTTCAAGTAACAACTCTTGGTTGTATTTGTTATTTATTATTGTGTGTACTTATTATTGCATCTGCTTTTCTGGTTCCTAATTCATTATTTTCTTCTTTTCTTTATCAATTCCTTCCTCCTCCTGTCCCTAGGTTCATTTTATTGCCTTTTTATCTAGCTTCTTGGGTTGAGTGCTTTGGCGAGACACTGCATTTCTGCTTTGGGGATCAGGGTTTTAAAGCATATGTAACAGTGACAAAAACTGTTGAGGTTCAGATGTGATCAAAAAAGCAGCCTCTGTTGAAGAAAGACCAAATCCTAGGAGACAGGAGAGCTGGATTCCAGTCTCAGCCTTGCCTCAAATTAGCTGAGTGCCTGTGGGCAAGTCCCTTCCCTTCCCAGGACCCTCTTATCTATCCTGGGACTTGGTTCCAGGTCCCCTCCTGCACCAGGCAGCCTCCCATCAGATAGCGTCTCCATCTTTTAGGAGGCCTCCCTCCAACGTAGTCTTGGCTCCCACCCCAAGACATATATTGCAAAAACTGTGTAGTTGAATTTCTTTCTGCATGGTGGAGCCAGTAAGCCATGGTGACAGTGTGGCCTAAAGGCAGGGCTCAGCCTGGTGTCCCAGCTGGGAGACATGTGGACAAAAACACAGCTGGTACATGTGTAAGGCAGTGGAGTGGAGTGGCTAAGCATGTGGTCTTTACCACTGGGTTGCTTGGGTTCAAACCCTGGCCCTTACTGTGCAACCTTGGGCTAATTACTTGACCTTTCTCTGTCTCATTATCCTGTAAAGTGGGAAAGTACACTGGGGGTGTTGGCCAGAGGTGGTCCCGGCCACCTGCTAGTGGAGCTGGAGCTCAAAGTCATCTACCTGTGTCCTGCCTGCACCACTCCACAGGGCCCAGCCTGGCTCTGTGGTGTCAGGAGCTGTTCCCGCCACTGCTGGACCTCTCCTGGCCTCCCCAGACCTCAGTGTCCACATCCAGAAGAGGTCAAGGTTCTGCCCTCGCTCCCTCGTCCCAAGGCCACCTCATTTCCCACCCACTTCCCAGGATGGCTGACAGCAGGTGCATTCCTTCTTTCAGGGGCAACTGCCAATTCCACCCACAGGGCGGAGTCCTGTCCTCAGGGCCCAAAAATAATCACTGAACAGCCCCATCTCCCAGGGTCTGGACTGTTGGTCTGATGCATGAGCACCTTACGACATACCTGTGGCAATGTTTGAAGGACTGTAGCCCCACTCTCTCCCTGAGAGGCAGACAAGCCTCAGTGACACCTCCCTTAGAGTTCTACTTCCTTGGGGTTTTCTTCCACACGGCCTGGAACCCAGACCACTTGGCTGTTCCATTCATTCACGCATTTGTTCAGCTGCTAGGTGCCAAGCCCCATGGTGGAGGCAGGTTTCCTGGGTGGGTGGTGAACGAGGTATCACCCCTGCCCTTCAGGACCTGGCAGCCTGCAACGAGATGGACACACACCCACTGGAATGTCTGCCTCTGGGGTCTGAGGGCTTAACCTCCTCGTCCCAGTGCCCAGAACCATGTCTGGTGTCAGGAGGTGCTTCCTTCATTGAATGAATGACAAGCTCTAGGCCCAAAGAGGGAAAATTCAGTAAGGACCAGATGCAGGTCTAAGGCGGGCAGAGCCCTGCCCACGATGGGGGGCTGTCAGGGAAGAGGTGAGAGGCAGTTGAGCTGGTCTTTGAAGTCTGGTGGTGTTGGGCTGGTTGTAGAGTGCACAGCAGAAGCAAAGGTGTGGAGATGGAGAAGTCCAGGCCCTACTTGGGGAACAGAGAGCACGGGGAGCTGGCCAGAGCTCCAGTTTCCCAGGGTTACTGTAGAGCCATCCCTGGTTCCTGCTGAGTAGAGCCTGGGTGGCTGGAGAGGTGGTTGAGTGTGTGTGACTGAGTATGTGTGAGTGCCACGCATGTGGGCTGGGGGCACACTGGTGTTAGGCATCCAGACGTGACAAATGTGCAGATGTCTGGGAAGCTGTGGACACAAGCAGCTGGCAGTGGAGATGCTCACCCTGTGATTTGTTGCTTTGATTCCTCAGGCCGTGACTTGGCGAGCACGACCCTCCCTGGGTACCCTCCACACGTCCCCCCCGCCGGACAGGGCAGCTACTCAGCGCCGACGCTGACAGGGATGGTGCCTGGTGAGTTTGCACTGTCTGTGTCTCTGCAGCAGACAGCGGACGGGGTTTCGAGGGGGCATCCCCCCCAAATAGCCCGAGTGACCTCTCCACCTCTGAGAAGTGGACCTGAATAAATCAGGCAGAGGTCTGCACTCTCGGCCTCTTTCTCTGCAGCTGGGCCTGCAGTGGGGCCGGACCAACCAGCAGCAGTACCTGCAGGGACATCAGAGAGAGGGGGGCCCTTGACTGTCACTCAAACATTCCTCGCTGGCTGTACAGGGAGCCTGAACAGGACCTGGCAAAAGGTCAGCGAGGGGCTGGGCTGTGCCTAGGTCACCCAGCAAGTAGAAGGCAGAGCCACGACTAGAAGCTGTGACCCAGCAGGAACCACCCTTAGATCCAGGCAGAAGGAACCCTGCTCGGAAGCCACCTCCCATGCTGCAGGGGCGTGACCCCCTACCCATGGACCGGGGAGTCCACAGGGCAAGAGGACATGCCTACACCCCTCCTCTAGCCCACCCAGGGGTCCTGCCCAAATAACCTCAAGCCTCTGCTGGTCTCCCAGCCCATGTCACAGGTGCGTGCACCCCAGGGCCCAAGGACTGGCTCTTGGTGGATGGTGTGGACAGAGTTTGGACATGAAGTCACGGCACCCACACCTGTGTCCAAGGCTGGGGTGAGGATGAGCGGAGCCGGGCGTGGGAAGGGAAGCTGGACAGGTCAGAGCTCGGGTGTGCTTTGCCCTCGCAGCCGGGGTCTGGCGCAGGTGCCAGCGGGTCCCAGAATTCTAAATTTGCTCCTGGCCTTCCAGGTTATTGTGAAGATGTATTTAACAAGGTAGGAGGACAGAGCATATTTCATTTAACGGTTTGTTAGCTTGATTTATGACTTTTAAATATGAGACATATGGGAAATGGCCTCTGTGTGTACTCTTGCCCAGGGTCTTGCCAACACTGGGAAGGCCTGCCAGGTTCACGCCCACAAAGCCTTTGCCTTTTCTGCTGCCAGGACGGGCCATGGCAGAGCAGAGGGAGACATCATGCATGGGGCAGGCAGAGGCTGTGGGACACATGCCCTCCTGCTCCCCAGAGCACCCCCACCCCTTTCCAGCCCTTAACAAGTTAGGGTGGCCCTAGGAGATGGCGCTTACTTATGCAATACGGGCCCCTCGCATTTACAGAGCACTTAGCAAATGCAGAGTGCTTTCCCAGGAGCCCTTCCGTGTGCAGCCTTGTGGAGTGGGCAGGGAAGAGTGTCAGGAGACTGAGACTCAGAGAAGTTAAGGAGATGTCCAAGGCTGCAGAGCTTGGTGGTGGAAGGACTCGAATCTAGGTCTTCTGCCCTTTAATTCAGCCCTCCTTCCTGTCCTGGGCCACCGGCTAGAACGCACCTTTAGTCTGTCATCGCATGTTTCTCAGTGACAGCAGAGTGGGAGGTGGGGGCCCCAGGTGCTGTCCGAGAGCACGTTGGCAGGTGAAGCCGACGCCACCCAGTCAGCCCTGCTGGCCCCCGCTGCAACCCCCAAAGAGGCCGAGTTCAGAGAAGCATCTGAACTTTCCGAGTTTAACCAAACAGACCCTGCCCTCCAGCTCCATGACTCCTCCAGCCCTAATTACCAGGCTCGGGATACAAATGGCCGTGGGCCTGGCAGAGCCCCTGGTGGGAACGGATGGCGGCTTCTTGCCTATTAATAGCGGCGGCAGGAATCACAGGCCTGCGCGAGGGCACAGCCTAACCAAACCTGCTGGCAGCAGCAGGACATGGGCAGCCGCAGTGCCAGCCGGGTGGTGTGGCTGCCTGAGACTGTGGAGAGGGAAGGTGCACAGTGTGGAGGAAGGAAGACAAGCGTTTTGTCAGGGACCCCATGTCTCCTGCCTTCCCCTCCTCCCTTTTCTTTTTCCTTCTTTTCCTGCTTTCTTGTCTCACGCAGCCCCAGCCATTCAGTGCCAGACCCAGTGTCAGGGCTGGGGCTCCACACTCAGCAGGCGGGTCCTTCATTCCTGTTCCTCAAAGTCGAAACCAGCATCATGTCTCTGGGACTCTGTCTCCAGTACGATTTCCAAGCCTGTTCTCGGATGGCTTCTTGAGGCAGTGCTGGCCCGCATGCATGGTCTTTGCTGGAACTGCCCAGGGTTGGCCCGCAGGAGAGACGGCCACCTTTCAGCAGCCAGGTCCCAGGCCCGCCACTCAGATATCACCACAGTCTGGCCTCAACTTGCCCTTTGGGCCAGCTCTCCCAGCCTGTTCCCCTCCCTGACCGCTCACTGGTCCCTACTCTGCTTCTCACTCTGACCGGTCGGTGTCCCGCCTTATTCTGTGTCTCTGGCTGAGACGACTTCCCATGTCAGCCTGTTGGGACTCGGCTTCATCCCCCAGGGCTGAGCAGCAACATTACCACCCCTGATGCCTCTGGTGCAGCCCCGCGCTGGGGACAGTGCTCCCTGTTTGCTTGTTATGCCACGTGGTCCAGTTAGCTGTGCCACCAAAAGGTGAGCTGGTTGAGGCCGTGCCCTCCGCCTTACGCCTCCTCCGCACCCCTCTTAGCCCATAGCACAGAGAAGGTCCTTTTTTCTGAGTGTTGGCTGAGGAAGGGAGGGGGAAATGAAAATTAATATTGACCTACATATGAATTTTATATATATAACAAATTAGCTTAAATTTGGTGGCTTAAAATAATGGAAAACTTTCTCTCACAGTCCTGGAGCCCAGCAGGCTGAAGTCAGTATCACTGGGCCAAAATCAAGGTGTCGGCAGGGCCGTGCTCCACCTGGAGGCGCTAGGGAGAGACCTGTTCCTTTCCTCTGCTACCTTCTGTGGCTCCTGGTGTTTCCTGGCTAGTGGCTGCGTCACTCCAATCTGCAACCCTCTCTCTGCCCCATCTTCATGTCCCTTCTCTATGTGTGTGTGTGGCGTCTCGCTCAAGTTCTCTCTCGTAAGGATCCGTGTGGCCGCGTTCAGGGCCCACCCAGGGATAATCGTCCCCTTTCCAGATCCTTGACCTAACCTCATCTACGCAGACCTCCTGTTCTTTTGGCCACATAAGTCGTGTTGCCAGATTCCAAGGATTAGGATGTGGATATACCACCACCTGTTTTGGGGGTTCAACTTCGTGTTTGTTCAGGTTTCTGATTCATAACTCCGGGGGCTGCTGGATCCAGGAGGCAGTCATACACTTGTGACTGCAGGCAACATCATTTCACAGACCCCCAAGGGCATGTTGGCCGTCTTTGGAGAAACAAGCCGAGTAAGGCTTCAGAGAATCGTTTATTCCGCTTTTGTCTCTCGGAGGCTGTTACACGGCGACAGTCCTCTTCACTATACGGAACCGTCCTGGCTCCTCGCCTGGCAGTGACTCCCAAGGGAAACCAAAACCTTGTGAGCTGCTTTTCCTACCCTAGGTTTTGGGAAACATTTGGCTGCCACCTCTTCCGTGTGTAGGGGAAGGATTCCACGAACAAGGTTTGTTTTTAGGATGCATCGAGGACGAGTGGCATCCAAGGTACACTTGGGCGGTTGAACTTTGTGGCCTGAAAAGGTAGACATTACATTTTTCCGTAGTAACTGCCAGCTTGTAGGCTTAGACTCTTGTTTATTTTGCATTTGATTCTGCCATCAGGGGTTGTCTTATTTCTTGATCTTCTCTAGTGTTCGTAGATTCAGTCCCTGCGGCTCTGTAACCCTGTATAGCCCTTTGCTGATCAGCTACATCGAATAAAGCAAATTCGGCACATCACATCGGCTCAGAGTGGAGACAGTTTTCAGATTTTATTTTCATCAAGTCCCAGCAAATGCCAAAAGTTTTGCACCAAAGATTCCATGGTGTCTTGACCAGTATAACTAGTTGATTCCTGCCTGAAGATATTTGCACAAGCTAACGGATATCGACATGGCATTTGAAACTCTTAAAAATTCTGGCTGGGGGAAAGGAAGGGGCGTTCCCTGCCCTTTGGCTTCAGTGAGTCTAAGAAGGTAACCAACTGCCTTTGCAATGCAGCTGTTTGATGGGAGGCCCTAGAAGGAACCCGGTGGGCTCCTCCAGTCCTGGGCGCTCCACTTGCCGTAGGTTGGTGTACATCATTTCTAGCTGCTGCTCAGTTACATCACTCAAGTAATTTATGACTTTTGTTTTCTTGAAGAAGTGGGAGATGAGGGTGAGGGTGGGGTGGGCCACTGAGGCCAGCGAGGAGGCTGAGGCAGGCGCAGGGCCCCCGGACAGACGCACCTGCGCCAACCTCCTCGCCCGGGCAATTCCTCTGCTTAACGGGCTCAGCCCCCTCTGCTGTTCCCATCGCCAACTGCCCAGCTGCCTGGCTCCTTCCCACCCCTGAGGGCTTCTTCTCCTCCGAGAGACCTTCCTCATCACCAAATATGTGTTAGTTTCCTCTTGCTGCTGTGATGAGTTACTGCAAACTATTGATTTGAAACAACAGTAATTTCTCATCTTACGTCTGGAGCTCGGAAATCCAAAGTGAGTCTTACTGGGCTGCAGTCCCGGTGTTGGCAGGGCTGGTGCCTTCTGGAGGCCCCAGGGGAGAATCGTTCCCTTGCCTTTTCTAGCTCATAGACACTCCGCATCGCCTGCTTTCTGGCCCCACCTTGGACTGAGTCCTTATCATGCTACCGTCTTCCAAGTTTGCTCTTTCCTGGCTGCTGCTTCCACTTATAAAGACCCTTGTGGTTTTATTGGGCCCACCTGGATAATCCAGGATAATCTCCTTATCTTTGGGTCAGTTAATTAGCGACCCTAATTCCCCTTTGCCCTATAACCTAATGTGGTCACAGGCTCCAGGGACTAGGATGTAGACATCTTTGGGGGTGAAGGGGGTGTTATTTTACCCACCACACCATCGAAAACAGGACCCCCATCACGCCTCTCTCAAAGCATCCTGTTGTATTCATTCATGATACTAAGCACGATACAAGGAATTTAATTAGCGGTTTACTCTTTCCTTGTCTGCCTTCCCCCAGGTCTGCACAGTACATCAGGGTTATACAGTACACAAGGCTGTGCCTGTGTTGTT